GAGGGTCCAGACCTAGCCCAGCTGAATGGGGCTCCCTACCCAGAATTCACATGACTGAGATACCTAGGAATGGACTTTCTGCATCAAGGATGAGAGGGACCCAAGAGTATTTTGTTCAGCACAAATAACCCAAGAGTGAGACCCACCTTGCTGGGAAAGAAGGCAAGTCCTGCTAAACTGGGAAATGACTGGGTTCCTCTTTCAGGACAAGTCTTCTGCTGCCTCCTACAGCATGCCTTGTGCCTCTAGTTCTAAGAAATTTTCTGTCCACAGGGTCATTCTTAGATGACTTTCCTTTGTCTTATTGAACTTAGACATTCATTCAGCAATATTTATTGAATGCCAGCTCTTCCCCTTACATGCCACATCTAATCCAACAGTAAATTCTGTGACCCTTTCATTCTAGGTACCATTCTAGGTGCTGGGAGATCCAATGACAAAATAGACAAGGCCCTTGAACTCATGGAATGTACCTTCTAAAAGAGGAGATAGACAAGAAACTAGTAATTAAATGAATATAGAATATAACTTTAGGCAGTGGTAAGGGCTGTGAAGATGTTAATAAAGGATAATGGAATGGAGAGACTGAGAATGTTTTAACTAGGATGATCATGGATGCGCTGGGGGATTGTAACGTTGAATACTTGAATGCAGCAAAGGAGTTAGTCTTGCAACTATCTGGGGAAAGAGCCCTGCAGGCAGAGGGAGCAGCAAATGCAAGGATCCTGAGATTGAAAGGGGGGAATTATCAAGATGACCAGTGAGGCTGGGCTGATGGACACAGTAGGAGAGTAGCAGAACTGATGCTCAGTGGGGTGTGGAGATGGGGCCAGATCACTCAAGGCCTGTGATAAGGGACTGAGATTTTACCTTGAGCATGATGGGAAGCCACTGGGCAGGGAGTGGGGGGATGGAGCAGGGGGGCTGATGTAACTGATGTAGCAGCTTAGTGTGAAAAAAGTAAAATATATCATCAGTTATTTTTATGTGTTGAAATAACATTTTGGTGATCTTGGGTTAAGTAAAATATATTATTAAAAGCAATTTCACATGTTTCTTTTTTATTCTTTTTTAAATGTAGCTACTAAAAAACTTAAAGTTACCTATGTGTCTTGCAATTGTGCTCAAGTTAACATTTCTATTTAATTGTGTGGGTCTCTAGGAAACGATTGTAGATAAAGAAGCGGGCCAAGGACAAAGCCCTACGGTGCTACAACATTTCAAAATCAAACAGAGGAGAACATCCGTCAAAGGAGACCCAGAGGGAACAGCCAATGAGGTAGGAAGAAAATTAGGGGAGTATGAGACCCAGAGGGAACAGCCAATGAGGTAGGAAGAAAATTAGGGGAGTATGATGTTCTGAAAGGCAAGTGATACAATTATTCAAAGGAGGGAGTGACGGACTGTGTGAGATGATGCTGAAAGGTTGAGTAACTGGTGGATTCTATTAGAGCAGTTTTGGTAGAGTGGTTTGGAAGCTGTTCGATTTGGAAGCCTGGTTGGAGAGCTCAAGAGAGCAGAAGTGAGGACATAAGGGCCGTGAGTATAGATAACTCTTTTGAGTTTTGCTTTAAAGAGATGCAAGGGAATGGGGTGGTAACAGAAAAAGGACTTGAAATCAACAAGAGGCTTATGTCTTTTGTTGTGGTTGGTGGGCTATCCAGGAGGGGAGACAGTTCCTCATGTCCCAATTGGCTGATGGTGGTTTAAAACCTTTTGCTTTTCAAGGCTCCTGCCACTCTGGCTACACAAATTCGCAAGTTTTCCTTAGCTTTAGAGTTTGTAGTCACCACTTTCTACCGCTGGAGCTGGATCTGCTGTTTACAGCTAGAGAGCAGAACAAGATGGGCCTAAAGTCCATCAGGACCTTTAGGTTGGGGAAATAAGGCAAGCATGCCAGAGAGAATTTCAGTTTATGCTCAGGGTTAAATTGAATGGTTCTATTAATGCTCTAGGGGTTCTGATGCTGCCAAGATGGCCTCTCTCTTTGTTCTCCTTTTTATCTTTCATATGTTTCTCTTTGCTGGCTGTTTCCTTCTCTTTTTCTACCCTTAACAGTGGTGGGTCAAGGGCAATGTTTTTTATTTTATTTTATGATTATTGTTTAATTTCAATAGCTTTGGGGGTACAAATAGTTTTTGGTTACATGGTTGCGTTGCATAGTGGCGAAGAAGTCTGGGCTTTAAGTGTACCCACCACTCCCACTTGTGCACACTATACCCGATAGGTGGATTTTCATTTCTCCACCCCTTCCCACCATCCCCCTTCTGAGTCTCCAGTGTCCATTATACCATTCTCTATGCCTTTGCAGATCTGTAGTTTAGCTCTCGCTTATAAATGAGAATGTGATATTAACCCACTGTGGCCCAGCATTTGGATTACAGGATCCTATTCCATGGGCTTTTCTAAAGCTCAGAGAGAGTTTATTTCCCCAATGTCCAAAATGGCTTCCTTAGTGGCAGAGGCAGAGGATGTTGCCATGTTTATTAATATGGCCAGGAACTTACCAGTTATATGAATTGCTTTTGCTCTCCTTCTGAATTTCTTAGGGGCTTTTGAATTTCCCTACCTAAAATCTCCTGCCAGATTTCCAGATGGAACTTGGAAAAATAGTAGAGGCAGGAATGCTAAGGGGGAAATCTATTCTTTCTAGGACAATATATTGGTGTGTATATGTGTGGGCTCTCCTGATGGTATGTGTATGGTAAGCAAGGGGATATGGTTGTAGAGTGGAGAGGGTGCGCGTGTGCATACGTACTTGTGTGTGTGTATATGTGGTAATTATTGAGCACTCTGTGGGCCTAGAACTCAGTCATATTTAAGTAAAATTGCAATATTAGCTCAGAGATAGATTGACTTGAACAAAGTATCAGTACCTTTCAGTCAGGAACATACCTGTAGTTGAACAAGTTGGGTTTATTACTTAAGGCAGAGAAGGAGAACACACTGTAACAAACCATAGGGCATCTCAGTAAAGTGAATCTGAAGCCATCTCGATATCACGGCCTTGTCAGCTCTCATTGTGGTTTGGAACCTTTAGCTCTCCAAGGCCTCAGGTGCTCTGGCTATGTGAACTTTCAAGTTCTCCTTAGCCTTAGAGCCTGTGGCCACTCCTTTCTACTGCTGGAGATGTATCAGGAGTTTAAAGCTAGAGAACAGGATAGGATAGACTTGAAGTCCATTCATGAAATAGCAGTGGCAGCTTAGCTATGTCTGGGAGCAGAGCAGATATGGGGTGAGCAAGGGGGTTCTAGAACCTACTTAACCCCACTTGACAATACTTCAGTCAGTCGCATTAAGACCCCTAGGGGAGCTATCATGGAGGCAAGGTTTCTTTTTACCTCTTTAGAGCCTTCTTGCTATGTATGAATATAGTACCCTTTCTCTGGTTATGGTGCTCATCAGACTTTCACTTTCTCCCCACAAACTCCCATCAAGAATGTAAGCATTAGACCAGGTGAGGTAACTCACACCTGTAATCCCAGCACTTTGGGGGGTTAAGATGGGATGATTGCTTGAAGCCAGGAGCTCAAAACAAGCCTGGGCAACATAGTGAGATCCCTTCTCTACAAAAAGTAAAAATAAAAAAAAATTATAGGGTGTGGTGGCACGTGCCTGTAGTCCCAGTTACTGTGTGTGTGTAGGGATGTGGTTGAGGTAGGAGGATTGCTTGAGCCCAGGAGTTTGAGGCTACAGTGAGCTATGAAGGTGCCAGTGCCATCCTGGGGGAGAGACTGAGACCCTCTCTCTAAAAATAAAAAGAATTTAAAAGAATAACATTTAAAAAAGAATGTCAGCATCAATTTATAAAGGTTTATCACTGACATGCTTCCCCAGAAACATGACATAGAGTCATTGGAGAATTATCCTTTTCATGATCACTTTGGTTGTTTCTCATTTTTAGCTTTTAAAACAATGGCTGTGACAAACATTCTTGCATGTATATTTTTGTATGCAAGCGTGAGTATATTTATGGGGTGAAGTTCTAGCACGATGTTTCTGGATCAAAAGGTTTGTGAATTTTTAATTTTGATAGATATTGCCAAATAGCTCTTTAGAGAGAGCTATTTACTTCATAGCATAAGGGAGTCCCTATCTCTCCCACCATCATCAGAAATGGAATGCCATTAAAATGAAAACTTTTTCTGACAATCTGATAGATGGAAATGTTGATTTGCTATTTTGATTTATATTTCTGAGCCTTTCCTTATATGGTTATTAATTGTTTGTATTTATTTTTATGTGAATTTCCTTTGCATCCTTCACCTCTTTTATACTCAATTATTGATTTATAAGAGCCCTTGACAAATTAAGAAAATTGATCCTTATATTTGTCATATTTATTGCAAGTATTATTTTTCAGTTGTTCATTCTTCTCTTGATTTCTTTTCTTTGGCCAAAAGTTTTAAATCTTTATATAGACAAATGTGTCAATCTTTTCCTTTATGACGCTGAATGGGTATCAAGACAATTTTGTCCTCCTAGACACACCCATGAATAGTAACAGGCCTCCAAAATTAATGGGCCCCAACACAACACAATAGATTAGGTTGTTTGCCTTTCTTTTTTTTGGTAATTGCTTTATTGAGATATAATTCACACATTATAGGTCACCCATTTAAAGTGCACAGTTCAGTGTTTTTAAATATATTCACAGATTGGTGCAACCATTATCACGACCAATTTTAGAACATTTTCATCATCTCAAAAAGAAATCCTGTACTGTTTATCTATTACTCCCCCCAAAAGGCCCATCCCCCAGCCCTATGCAAGACATTTTCTGTGTCTATGTAATTGCCTATACTGGACATTTTATACAAATGTAATTATTGTCTTTTATAAATAAAGGATAATTATCTGAATGGCAATTCCATTTGTATTTCTTTTCTTGACTAGTTTGAGAATCTAACTGAAGGAGAAGGGATAGGGTGAAAGGATTGCATCATGCCTTAGATATTAAATGATAATCTTTTGTTTTTTTTCTCTGTATTTTATTTGAGTGCTCTTACCATGGCTGAGTTACTAAGTGAAGTTCCTGGCAGTCTGGAAGTTCTGGAGGCCAGTGATGAGGGTAAGTAATCCCCCCAAAGCTTGATAACTGGAACTAGATTTGTTTACTGTGTTAACTTCCTAGGATAAAGAAGCAAGACACAGTTCAGATCAAATTGATACTAATGTTAGACTTAATCATATTTACTTTTCAGTTTTCTAATCTCATCTCTGTTACCCCCCAACTCTGATAGTCAAAAGGTTTGTTAGAGGTTGTGAGATCTTTTTTGGAGATGGTTGCCAGGTTCTAGTTACTAAGGCAAGAGAAATATTTCCATTAATCAGAAAAAAACAATCAGAATAGACCATGATCTGATAGATTCAACTGAGGTTTCACTGTGATAGTAATGCAGATCTAACAAACAGATGAATTTGAAATTTGAGAAGTAAAGGGGTCTAGAAACAAAAGATTCCTCCATAGGTTTTGCTAAGTAGGATTCAAATTAGAAAAACTCTCCTTTACAAAAGTTACTCAGATGTGTATTCATTGCCTAAATTGTGGTGCTAGCTATGAGTGACAGATGATAATGAATGGAATAATGGAAAGGGAGGCAAAAGTCACTAAATAATGATAAGCTTTTTTGACACTCACATGCACCATAATAAAATAAATCAAAAGGTGCAAAGTGAGACATTGAGTTTAAAGACAGAAATGAATTTAACAGTCCACTGTGCTCTTCAATTTTGTTGCTGAGTTTGCTTTAGTGACATATTATACAGAAAACTTGGTCTGGAAGGACAGAGAGGGGAAAATCCTCATGGCTTCCTGGGGGCCTGACTTCCCAGGTGTTGCAGGGCATAAGACGCTGAACCTGGCATAGATCCTTGGTGACAGTGCTTGGGTCTTTTTCATCTGTGTTACCACTGTTTAGTATTGAGTCTCAGAGAGAGAGAGAGAGAGAGAGAGAGAGAGAGAGAGAGATTAGGCACTCCAACATTTATAAATGAATGAATGTATAAATGAATGAAAGGCTTCATCAAGGCAGACCCAACTACCAAATCAATTGACCTACCTTTTTGGGTATGAGTCAGATGCCTACAAAAGAAGGTGGCAATATGGTATATATTGATGAAGAGTGGAAGCAAGGAAATGCCTTTTCTCTGTTCTTAATTTTTTTTTTTTTTGAGTTGGAGTCTCTGTTGCCCAGACTGGAGTACAGTGGCAAGCTTACGGCCACTCTAGCTTCGACCTGCTGGGCTCCAGCGATCCTTCCACCTCAGCCTTCCAAGTAGCTGGAACTACAGGTGCGCGCTACCATGCCTGGTGATTTTTTATTTATTGTAGAGACGAGGTCTTGCCAAGTGGTCCAGGCTGGTCTCGGACCCGCGGGCTCAGGCAATCCATTCGCCTCGGCCTCCCAAAGTGCTGGGATTACAGGCTGAGCCACCAAGTTGTTGGGAGGCTGAAAGGAAGAAGGTTTCATTAGAAATATTTCTTTTCCAAGCAGCAATGTAAGAGAACAGGGTCATCTTTATGCCATACATTTTTAAAGCTCATTAAGTCCAATCCAGATGGGCTGCCTGTGTGCATGGTGGATGAGCAAATATACAACCTAGAAACAGCAAATTGGATTTAGCTGTGTTTTTTTTCTGGGGGGAAAAGATTGCCTTCAACAAGCTGTTTTCTGGAATGTGACATGCTGTACACCCTTATTGGATGAGGATGTTGAAAGCTACTTGTTTGGAAATGCATGGTCCTTGGCCTTGAATAAGGAAGTTAATGGATTTGTTATAAGAGAAGTCCAGATTGCTGTCAACTCTCAGCTGTCAGCTCACTGACCACAACTGCTATACCTTGTGGTGGCTTAAGTTACCCACTGTATAGTTTACCTATATAAGCATTGCTAAGTACAAATGTGGGTTTTGACCCACACCTGCTGTCTAGATCTCTCTATCCATCGCACGTTTAGTGTCCAGCCTGTAGAAGGCTCGGTTAATGGCAATTTAAAGGCACCCCCGTTTTTTTTTTGAGTTGGAGTCTCACTCTGTCGCCCAGACTGGAGTGCAGTGGCCGCTCCCGGCCACTGCAGCCTCAACCTGCTGGACTCCGGTGATCCTTCAGCCTCAGCCTTCCGAGTAGCCGGAATTACAGGCATGCACTACCACGCCCGGCTGATTTTTTGATTTATTGTAGAGATGAGGTCTCGCCAAGTTGCCCAGGCGGGTCTCGAACCCAAGGGCTCAGGCAATCCACTCACCTCAGCCTCCCAAAGCACGGGATTACAGGCTGAGCCACCAAGCCCAGCTAAAGGCACCCCTTTAAAACAGAAAGCTTAGAAGGCTAATTTATGCACGTGAATATATGGTAGCCATTTTGGATCTCATTAGACTTTCAAAGGTAACATAGGATGTGTACACTACCTGTCTTTGTATCTCACTCCCGGGACTGAGACCAGGGCTTGTAGCCATACATGGGGGTGAGGTGGTCGAATGCAGTTAGGTATAGGGAGGTCTCTTAATGAAAAGCAGGCAGAAGACTTAGACTCTTGCTGTTGACATTGTGTCTGGCAGTAAGTTGCTCACTAAGGCTCTGTCCAGCTTCCAAGTCACTGCCCTACATCAACAAGCAGCCAACCCACCATCTTCTGGTAGCTCTCCCAACTCCTTGCCAACAAAGCTATATCACTATCATATTCAGAGTTCCCCTCGCCCCCACCCCAGGATGGAATGGAAACATTCTTCTTCTTCTACAGTCCATGGTTGGAAGAGACACGCACTGCTTAAGCTATTTTGAATCCTTGTGGGAAAACAAATTGTTGTGTCTGCCCAGCAAAAAATGGAAAGTTGGGGGAAAATTGGAATATATGCATACTTAATTTTTAGCACCTGTTATAGTTTCAAAGTCACTAGTCATTTTGTTAATTTCGGAACATAAAAATGTGTTAATGTATAATTTTGTCTACTCATGGAACGATTATGTTTGTTAAATTTAGTTTTACAGACGGAAGGGTTTATTAGATGTGCTTTTATTCAGCTATTCAGTGTTTATAGATTGTGTCACAAATGGAGCTATCAGCTGATGACTCTCTCCCCTCTTTGTCTTTGCTGGCTTATGAAAAGCTTGTTTGCAACTCCAGATTCTCTAGCTTTGCTTTCCTCCTTTTCACTGTGGGATTTTGAAGCAAGAAAGGCAGCAATCACTGTGTTTCTAAACCCTCTGAGCATAAAGTTGTTCCTCTTTCAGAAGGTCAGAAGAGCAAGTGCAGTGGCTCATGCCTGTAATCCTAGCACTTTGGGAGGTCGAGGTGGGAGAATCACTTGAGCCCAGAAGTTTGAGACCAGCCTGGGCAATATAGCAAGACCTCATCTCTACAAAAAATAAAAATATCTTAGCTGGGCATGGTGGTGTGCACCTGTAATCCCAGCTATTAGGGAGACTAAGGCAAAAGGATCGCCCGAGCCCAGGAGTTTGAGGCTGCAGTGAGCCATGATCAAAAAAAAAAGAAAAAGAAAAAGAAAAAAAGAAAAGAAAAAAAGGAAATCCACCTGTTCAGAATCAATAGATCTTGTTGTTTCTAATTGGAAAATGGCGATGCCTCCAAAGGCTAAAATATAGTTTGTTTCTCCCTGTTTATAAGAGGACTCTGGCCAATTTGTCCTTCTTGGGCAGGAATTATCTACTGGCATGTTGGAGCTGGCTCATGCTGGTTTAGGGGACTGATTGTGTACATCTTTTCCCAATAATCACATTAGTAGCTTCAAATTGGCCATGGTGGGAGTATATACAACACAGAAATATGCAAATACTACAGGTCAGGTATTTCCCCTCAGAGAACCAATTATTAAGCATTTTCCAGCACAAAACTGAATATAGCAATCAGGATTGCACATAAAAACCTTATATTTCATAGGTTTTAGAATCCTTTGGGGATGAGGAGTTTAAGAGAGAAGGCCAAAGAGCATACAAAACAGATGATTTTAAAACCAGCCTACTCCGTGCTATTTATGTCTCAGAACTTTCACACTGGGTTATTAAGATATGATGAAGGAGACAACTGAATAAATGGTCCTGTGGGGACTGGGGGTGAGGGCCAAGCTCTGTGGTGGCATCTGGGATCATGGTCCTCATTCCTGTCGTGAAGGCTCTGTCTCCTTTCTTGTCTTCCCTTCTACTATCACACTCTGCCTCACTTCTATTTTTTGCCCCCAGGAAAGAAGAAATCTAAATTTAAAGCTTTAAAAAGCTTTTTTGGCAAGAAGAAGAAAAAGGAGCCTGAAGATGACCAGGGAAGGATGACGTTAAAACCAAACTTGTCCGACAGCAATATTAGCATCTCTACTCTGAATCCAGTTCAGGAGAATCAACAAACTGAGCCTGGGTAAGGTCAAATGGGGTGGAAGGGGATGGGAACAGGGCAAGGGGTAGCTAGAACTGGATCCTCCTTGGGCAGCCAAATCACGAATGGACCTTTAGGTCCAAAGACTCTTGGCCTCCCTGTCTGTGAGGGCCAGACTTGCAGTCATTGCCAATGCAGCCATGTTCAGGAGGCCTTTTCTCTGTTTGTGCATGTTTGTTGTCTGGGCTGCACAGCTCAGTGGGTTGGAGCATGGCCAATGCACACTCCATTTTCCAAGAGCACTGGGTGAGAGGGTACAGATAGATCAGGGAAACCCTTTCTGTGACAGTTAAGATAATTTGAGATGTAGGGCCTACTGCTAACGAGCTGGAAGCCTTGTTTCATATGTTAAGAAGGGCTTACATCATTTAGGAGGCTTGGTTTGGTTTGCTTGCCTGACTCTCAGACTGCAGATTTGGCTAGGGGAGCCAGATCTCACAATGAGTGATGAAAGCTTCAGAGAGTAAAGTCATCTAGTTAAAGGTGGGTCAGAACACGATGTGAAATCACTGCATTACTATAAAAACACACACACAAGCAAGCAAACAACCTAAATCCTCTTCTCTCTATTCCCCCACCCTCAGCAGGAAATGCTATATTGGTCACAGAGAGTTTGGGGAAGACTGTTTCCAGCTACCACTGACACCTCTATTCAGATTTTCACCCGAAATACCCCAATTTCTACATCCTATTATGCTATCTCTCTATAGTACCAATTCCTCCCTGATCATAGGATTACATTAGCACTAGTTGAGGCCAAGATTGTCAGAAACCAAAACCCTTACCCACTGACTATCCAGTGCTCACTGACACTCAGTACTCCCACCTGTCTCAATCAGATGCCTCTCTATAAAGTTCTACTTGGGCCTGTTCTCTTGACCTTAAACTCCAGACTTGCCTGGACCCATCCTCTCCCGCTTTCCAGAGATCACCAGTGCTGCTACCTATGCCCTCAAAGCTTTGCCTGGTGGGAATGGAACAGTTAGTTGACATATATACTTCCCTTCATACCTTCTTATAGCCAGCCTTCCCCTGGCCTCTACAATAAGACCAGTATCTATTTTCAAGACTGTATTAAGCAGCATCTGATGGGACAATCCCATTCCTTCATTTGATTTCTAAATGGATACTGTTGTAATGTACTTCATTGTCCTTAATTAAGGCCAATATTTTGTTTGGATTAAAAAAAATTTTTTTCTTTTTGTTCCAGGGAGTAGGTCAATGAGCACTGGATAGTCAGTGGATAAGGGTTTTGGTTTCTGACAATCTTGACCTCAACTAGTGCTAACGTAATCCTATGATCAGGGAGGAATTAGTACTATAGAGCCAACTCAACAGCTGCATTCTGGCACTTAGCCCACTCCAAGCCCAAATTTCCTCTCAACTTTTTTGCACAAAGCGGGAGAGGTAAGGTAGTTACAGATGCTACACTTGTTCGGAACTCGATTGAAGCAGCAGGTCACAGAGCAGCAGTGAATGAAAGTGTATATATGTGCATAACAAGCATATGTGTGTATAGAGAGATGTCTGAAGACGTTACTTTCTCAGTGTTGAGTCAATCATACATGCCCACTAAGTACTTATATAGAGAGTCACCTTAATTTTCTGCTGAGCAGCTGCTTTAGTAAAGCAGAGTGTGTTGCTTTCACCACCAGGGCCTCCTGGATAGCAGTTTTATGCAGAAAAGGTGGATGGGGGTTAGTACAAAGTAGCAGATGTCTGCCTCCTCTACTCTCTTGCTGGTCCACAAGCCACCTTAGAGTGGGTTTTGTTTTAATCCCCATAAAATGAGATTGTCCTTGGTGTGTATCATGACCAAATACACCCATGTGCAGGCTCCACAGCCAGATAGGCTTATAATGACAGGGCGGGCGCCAGCCCTACAATGCCCAAGCTGCTACACTAAGTGCCAACATCCATGTATTATTTTGTAATAAAGGTAATAAGTATTAAAAGTACTTAAAATTTTAAAAATTATTTTGTCTAATTTTAGAACACTTCCATCTCTCTCTAAAAGAAACCCTACACCCATTAACAGTCAATCTCCATTCCCCTCTACCACCTAAGTAATCACGAATCTACTTTCTGCCTCTATAAACCTGCTTGTTCTGGACATTTCGTATAAGTGGAATCATACAAAGTTCACCTTTTGTTTCATATAGCATGTTTTCAAGGGCCATACATGATGTAGGAAGTATCAGCTTTCTTTCCTTCTTTCTTTTGTCTGTTCGTTCATTGTTTTGTTCTTTTGTTCTTCCTTTCCTCCTTCTTTTTCATGTTTAAACTTGTCCTTTATATACACATACATATTTTCCTACCTAATAGGAAAAGATTTATAATTTTGTATCTTTATATAACAGCTCTATTGAAATATGACTCACATGTGTACGATTCTACTTTTTAGAGTCTGCAACCATCACCATTACACAATTTGGAACATTTTGTCACTCCGAAAAGAAACCTTGCACCCATTAGCAGTTATTCCCCATCTCCCCCTCCTCTTGCAAAACCGCAAATCTGCTTTCAGTCTCTATGGATTTACCTATTGTGGACAGTTCACATACAGGGAATCATACAATATGTACCCTCTTTTGACTGACTTCTTTCATTTAACATAATGTTTTCAAAGATCATTCATGTGAAATCACACAAGTGCTTGATTTCTTTGCAACAGCTTTTTTGAGATATAATTCACAAACCACACAATTAACTCATTTAAATTGTACAATTCAATATTTTTTGCATATTCACAGAGTTGTGCAACCATCGCCACAATCAATTTCAGAACATTTTTATCACCTTACAAAGAAGCCCCTATACCCATCAAGCAGTCCTTTCTATTAACTGTCCCCATCTCAGTCTCTGGAAACCATTAATCTGTTTTGTCTTCATGAACGGAATGTAGTCTTTTTTGACTGGCTTCTTTCACTTAGTATGTTTTCAAGGTTCATCCATGTCATAGCATATACCAGAACTTTATTCCATTTTACTACTGAATAATATTCCATTGCCTAAATATACCACACTTCATCCATTTATAAATTGATGGATAGATGTTTGGGTTGTTTCCACCTTTTGGATATTATACACGTAGAATAGAAATGGTAAGAGCCTTGTCATGTTTCTTTCTTTCTTTCTCTCTTTTTTTTTTTTGAAGGGGAAAGAGATAAAAGTTTAATTGTGAATTAAGTTTCAGATGCATTGAACATCAAAGAGGAAGTTGTCAGGTAGGCAGTTGAATATACAAATACAAAAATAGTGACTCATTAAAATCTTACACATCTGGGAGTTATAAGTCATATTTGCATTCACCCATGAAAATTTTATTCAACAGGTAGAAATGAAACAAATTATACATTGAGCACTAAAAGCGTTTTGTGGGCAATGGAATGTTTTAATTGGCTTTTTGTTCCTGATTGTGAAAGTGATGTTATAGCTACATTTCTGATCTTAAGGGGAATGCATCCAGTGTTTCATCACTGAGTATGATATTAGCTGGGGATTTGTTACAGATGTCCTCTACCAAGGTTGAGTGTATTTATCATGAAACGGTGTTAGATTTTATTAATGTTTTTCTGCATCTATTGAAATGGTTATATGGTTTTTGTTTTTATTCTATTGATGTAGTGTAGTAAATTCATCGACTTTCATATATTAAACTAAGCATTCATTGCAAATCCTATTTTGTCATAGTGTATAATTCATTTTTTATGCTACTGGATTCAGTTTGATAGTATTTTATTGAGGATTTTCTCATCTATATTTATAAGAGATATAGGTCTGTAGTTTTCTCTTCTTGCAATAACTTGGGATTGAATTTTTAAGAAGTAAACTACATTACCACTCCCCAAAAGGAGTTTTTCATACGTTTAGGTTTTCATTTGTTTAACTTTCCCCTGATTTGTCTTAACACATAATGATCATCAACCTGGTTCCATTCCTAATCAGAAGATATTTTCACCTGGGTGTAGCAAGCTGGGGGAGGGGAGGAACAAGTGGTACATAAGATGACCTTGAAAATAGGACAGATGTTCCACAGAGCCCTTGTGTGAGAGAAGAAAAATCCTGGTGAATGAAAGCCTCTCACATCTAGGCAATTTGTTAATGTTTTAAAACAAATCAAAACAAAAATACTAGAGAGAAATGTGGGTGTAAAAAATCTTTTATAATTCTCCCTGTAATCATAGCAAGACTAAGGGCCTTCCTTCCTATACTCCAGGGTTGCCACTATTGAATTATATACTTTAAATGGTTGAATTGTATAGTATGTAAACCATATATCAGTAAGACATATAAAAAAGATATATGTTCAAAGTTCTAGAAATTAAAATTATACAGAAGTACATAAAGTAGAAAATGAAAGTCCCTTTCCTGTCCACAATTTGATAGATATCCTTCCAGAATTTTTTCTTTGGACATAAACTGTATATGTGTGTGTATGAATATATGTGTACATATATGTACATATACAATGGGAGACCCCAAAAATCCGTAATTTATTTATTAAAAATTTGTGTATCTATTTTTACATTGTTAAACTCCAGTCACCTTCAAAGTACACTCTGTTTGATGCAATACACTCATCGTGATGCTTTTTCCACTGCTCAAAACAATTTTTGAACTTGCCAATTTTGATGCCTTCTAGTGCTTCGGCCATTGTTTTTCCAACATTGGCAAAATGTTTCCCCTTGAGGACTTTTTTCATCTGGGGAAACAAAACAAATTTACTCGGGGTGAAATTGGGTGAATAGGGAGGGTGGGACACAGGGGTCATGCCGCTTTTTGGTCAAAAATTGCTGTACACTCAGCACAGTGTGGGCAAGTGTGCTTGTAAATCACCCATCATGAAATGGGCAAACACTGAAAGAATCTCAAAAAAAAAAAAAATTAACTGAAACCGAACACAGCCTCTTACAACAATGCTAGTTGGTATGGGTTTCTAGCATGTTTACCTAGCAGGGGAAGCCTGTACTACAAGGGCCCACCTTCCAAAAAATAATTCCGTTTTTTTGGGTCCCCCTTCGTATACGTATGTAATATGTATGTAAATATAAAACGGGACCATTCTCTTTATTTTTTTCAAGTACTATCTCATGCCTTCTGCATAAGCACATAAGCATCCCCGTTCTCTTTCTGAGGTACCTATGGTAGGTCATATTGCGAATATACAATTTTCTTAGGTTCCTATGGTCCTTGGGCTGCTTTTACATGATATTTTCTTTCTGTCCAGATCGAAGAGCAGCATGGGAAGCAAAACCCTATCCCATGAGAGCATCTTCATGTTGGAACCTGAGTCTGAAAAATCAACAAGTAAAATGTGTCCCACTATGGAGCCCCAGACAGGCATATCTTTGCAGGTAATAATGGACTCAAGTATCAGTGCCTAATTGAACTACTCTTTTTAAATTTCCTACTCCAACTCTGCCCAAAAAAAGGAGGGAGAAATTTGGCTTTGCTTCTCAGCTGATTCTATTCCCACAGGGCTATTGCAAACATTGAATGAGAGAATTCACACGTAAATAATGTGCCTACCTATTGCCTGGTACACAGTATTGTCTGGTATTACCATATTCTCTTCTCTTAACACACCCCAAGAATATGTTAATTATGTTGGCAGTGACATTCCACTGTTTATGTGCTGGCATACCAACCCTCACATTTTTGTCTCTCTGTCACAGAGATCTCGTGTTTCTAAAACTGCGCCTAAAACTAGGACCGGTGATTTGCATGAAGCTGTGTTTGGAGTCACAGCAGAAGACAGAAGTGGAACCTGGGTTGTGAGCTCCAAGATCACTGAGGTAACAGAGTGGAATTGTTCAGAGGATGGACAACTGAGTCAGAAAGACAGATCTACGTTTGAATTTTTGCTCTGCTGTTTACTGGCGGTGTGACTCTGGGCTAGTGGCTTAACCTCTCTGAGCTTTTTCTTCTTCTACAATGGGTAAAATATTAATTTATACCTCAAGGGGTTGCTTGTAAGGATTTAATGAAGACTCAGAGAGGTTAATGAAATTGCTCAAGCTTACCCAGGTTGTAAGTTGTAGACGTAGAAATCTGACCCAGGTGTGTTGACCTCAAAACCCCAGTCTCTAAGATGCTCAACTTCTTCGTACCTGCCTGGACAGGGAGAAAGATCTAGCTTAGCCCAAATAAAAATGTGGCATGTACATGGCCTCTTACCTCCAGTTAATCCTAAACTTATGAAAGGTATCTGTTGTTCAATCAGACTCTTCTGGAGCTCCAGGGGGAGCTGGAGATATTGCCAGGGAGACAACCCTTAATAGCTGCCTTCCTTCTTCTCTCAACTTGTGGGTGGGATTATGCCCAAAAGTCCCTGTTTAGATGGGAAGGACACACAAGGAAGGAGACCCCTCTCCACTGGAGAGCTGATTATTTTGCATTTGGCAAAAGGTAAGTGGGGTTTATTTCTCACATGTCTGCATAAGACCCCACATTTTTCTGTCTGGTTTCCATTTTGCTGGGTCTATTTGCTATGAAGGGTAGTGGAGAAAACAGTGAGATAGTCACCAGTGGTGCTGATCCTATGATTGTGAAGTACCCCTAGGGTCAGCAGACTGTTTTCCTCTTGTACTATGGCAGGAAAAGACACTTTGGTGAACTTTTCAGTCTTTAATTTTAAATATCAACATGAGCTTCTACTTGCTTCCATAGCTATATTCCGTGCCACAGAGTTATTTCTCACATTTGGAAAGAGAAAACTTGTTTCCCACACTACTCCTTTCTTAGTCTCAACAATAAAGAGACTCATAGTGGAAACATTCCATTTCAAAAAAAGATTAACTTTTGTGAAATTAAAGGAAAAGATTCTAGGGGTATTACCTCTCACAACGAAGTGGGTGGGGCAAAGCCAGATTAGCCCAAAGGAAAGTTTTCTTAAATGTTTGGTTTGGGCCCACACCTCACACCTTTGGCGGGCTCCCTTAGTTCATACTGTGAGAAACAGGACTGAAGATAGCATAGGACCTGAGTCATCAACAGCCAGATTGACCTTTGCATGGCAAACTTCCTCAAGTACCAAAAGGATGACCCCAAATAGAAGGGTAATTGATAACATTAGGTCAAGGGTCGTGATCTTCAGTGCTACATAGAAGCAAGCATTTCAGCTGCATGACATCAAGAATTTTGTTTTGTTCATTGTTGTGGGCTCAGTTCCTCGAATGGGGTGTTATACAGATTAAATGCTTATTAGTATTTGTTAAAGATAAAATCAGGGATTCTGATCTATTCAAGAGGACCATGGCAAGGACCAAAGCCAAGTGTACCATGTTCTTCAAACTAGAATCAACTAAACTAATCTGCTGAATTCCAAGGAAAACTCAAATGATCAATTTTTTTCCCTTTAGGAAACTAGGACTAGTTCTGCAGATTTTTAAAACAATCCCAGAAAGTCAATCTTGACAGGATTCAGATAAGCAAATAACACAGCCAAGATCCAATACAGACAATTCTCAGATTAGTAGGAGCAAAAGTTGTAGTTTGGATGCCACTTCCAGATCATTACCCAAAGACTCACCTCTACAGGAATTGGACTTTCAAAAAGTTGGCCGAAATTAAAATAAATATCAGAATTAAATAAGATTTGTAGTTAGCATCAATAGGGAGATAACACCAGGATTCTGGTTTTGCTCAAACAAGCAATTTGAAGCTTCTGTCTTTGGGGATTGGCAAAAGTATGCAGCAATCCAGAGGATAATTCGAAGCTGTCTTTGGTTTGAGTAGGTACTAGAAATAAATAGGAGATTTTTAAAAAAATTTAGCTTGATTTTATTATAGAGATAGAGGGTACAAGTCAGGATTAGGTACGTAAGTAGTCTATGTGCAGGTGAGGTTTGGGTCTCCAACTGGTTCTCACTTTCCCTGATTTCGGACTAGGTACCCTTTGTGTTAATTACATGCCCCCCTCCACTGGCAGTGTTATGCAATTGCTGATTCCTCCTTTGTGCTATTGTGGTTAATGTTCAGGTCCCACTTACGAGTGAGAACATGTGGTATTCAGTTCTTTGTTTTTACCATAGCTCACTAAGTATGATGGTCTACAACTCTATTCAACTTTATTGTGAAGTCCATGATTTTGTTCTTCTTTATGTACAAAATCATGTGTATATGTACCACATTTTCTTTATTCACTATCAATGGGCAGTAGGGTTGATTCCATATTTTTGCTCTTATGAACAGTGTAGCAATAAACATGCATGTACAGGTGTCTTTTTTGTAGAACAATTTATGTTCCTCTAGGTATATTCCCAGAAGGGGGATTGTTAGATCATATGGAAGGTCAATTTCTAGGTTTTTAAAATTCATCACTAGTTTGCACTCCCACCAACTGTATAGAAGCATTCCCTTTTTTCCGCACCCACACCAGCACCTGTTGCTTGTTTTATTAATCATGGCCATCCTTACTGGAGTTAGGCGGTATCTCAATGTGGTTTTAATTTGCATTTGGGTTCTTAGTCCTTCAACCATTAAGGAACAAGAAAACACCAGCAACTTGGGGGGAAGCACACAGGTTTTAACTTGGCCCTTCTTTCTTCCCCTTTGACAGAACCCACCAACGCACCCATGCCAACCCAGCATCAGCCCACAGCTTATCCAATCTGACAGAATTTCTAAGAAAGGGGCAGAAATCTCTGTTGGTGATGAGTCATCTATGAGCCCACAAAAGAAGGCTCCACCACACAAGCTTATGACAGCGAATAAGGTGGGTACCCATCTTAAGGGGATGGTCGGGGGAGGGGTTTGCACAGGTCAAAGATGTAATTTCTTCTTGTGCTCCCTTTTCTCCTGCCGTAACTCAACACTGGGGGATGTTTGGGGAAGGAGCTGATATTCTTGGCTTTTGATTTGCATGATGATTTACAAGTACGTTTTCCATCCAATTCTACAGAGCAACTAATCACCACTTTAATTTATAAGCAATGGAAGACAGTATTTTAGGAAAAAAATAGTTTACAGATGTTTTGAGTTATTTAATGAGGATAAAAATAGAAATTTTTACTGAAGCAAAACCTCTACACTTTGAAATCTCAAAATCTCAAAGGTTAGGACACAGTATTATTTGATAGACATATCCACATAAAAAATCAGGTGACACATGAGAGAGCATTTTATGTGTACAAGTTTGTCAACCAAGTAATATCCATCAACGATTGGCAAACTAGTAGATTGTGCCCATATCAATACTTCCATTATCAAACTAATGTGTGTTTAATTTAATTGGTTGTTGCTGTACTTGAAAGGGCTCTTAGAGTGAAGTAGAGTTGATAAAAATTAACCTTTGGAACTAAAAAAGTAAACAGAAATATAATTTATAATGAAGCTAATTGACCGGTCAGAAGCAAACTCTGTTTTGATGGTTTTTATTTGTTTGTTTGTTTGTTTGTTTTTGAGTTGGAGTCTCACTCTGTTGCCCAGACTGGAGTGCAGTGGCATGCTCCCGGCCACCGCAGCCTCGACCTGCTGGGCTCAGGCGGATCCTTCCACCTCAGCCTTCCAAGTAGCCGGAACTACAGGCGCGTGCTACCATGCCTGGCTAATTTTCGATTTATTGTAGAGAGGAGGTCTTGCCAAGTTTCCCGGACAGGTCTTGAACCCATGGGTTCAGGCAATGCACTCGCCTCGGCCTCCCAAAGTGCTGGGATTACAGGCTGAGCCACCAAGACCGGCCTGTTTTGATTTTAAAAGATTCTATGAAGGGAAGCAGTCTTCAATTAGATATGTTAAGAAAACAAAAATAAAACAAGTGGGCTAACTGGTAGAAGGTGGATGGATACTCGTAGTTTTATGGACTTGGTCACTAAATACTATAAGTATTTAAATACTGTAAGTATTTAGTGGCAGAATGCCACTAAATCAGATGAATTGGAATGAGTAGTCTGAATTGGTGGAAGGATTAAATTAGAGAACATTTTTATCATGGTGACATACAGCTGGCATAACAGTTTATCATTTTACTATTTTAAAGTGTACAATTCTGTGGCATTACATACAATCACAATATCATGCAATCAGCACCACTATGTAGTTCCAAAGCTTGTTTGGTTCTCCCAAATGAAAATCAGTACCTATAAGCAGTCATTTGCCATTCACAGCTCCCATCAGCTTCTGATAATAACTAATTGACTTTCTGTCTCTGTATTTGCCCATTCAGGCTATTTCATATACATGGAATATTACAATATGTGGCTATTTGAGGTTGACTTCTTTTACTTAGTATAATGTTCTCAAGGTTCATCCATGTTATAGCATGTATCAGTACTTTGGTTTTTTTTTAAATTGCTGAATGATATTTTATTGTATGGCTGTATCACATTTTAATCACATTTCTTACATTTTGTTGTCATTGTTTTTTAATGTCTGCCCCAGTAGATGCTAAGTCCCATGGAGTCAGAGCTGTGTGCCCCATCCTCATGACCTCATCTAACCCTAATTACCTCCCAAAGGCCCCATCTCCAAATACCATCCTATTGTGGTTTAGGTCTTCAACATATGAATTTTCAGGGGGACACAATCATAACAATATAATATATGGCCTTTTCTGTCTGGCTTCTTTCACTTAGTATCATGTTTTTGAGGCTCTTCTTTGTTGTGGCAAATATCAGTACTTCATTCCTATTTATGGCTGGATAATATTTCGTTGTATGGATGTACCACATTTTGTTTAGCCACTTATTCATTGATGGACATTTGTGTCTTACCTACTTTTGGCTACTGTGAATAGTGCAATTATGAACATTCATGTGAAAACTTTTGTTTGATCACTTGCTTTCAATTCGTCTGAGTATATACCTGGGAGGGGAATTGCTGGGTCTTATGGAAATTCTATGTTTAACTTTTTGAGAAACTGCCAACTGTTTTCCCCACCAACTACACCACTTTACATCATATTCCCACCAACAGTGTATTAGGGTTCCAACCTCTCCACATCTTGACCAATACTTATTATTTTCTTTTTTAAAATAATATGGTCATGCTAATGGGTATGAAGTAGTATCTCATTGTGGTTTTGATTTGCATTTCTCTAGTCAATAATGATGTTAAGCATCTTTTCATGTGCCATTTGTGTACCTCCTTTGGATAAATATGTATTTGAGCTCTTTGCTCATTTATTAATTGGGTTGTTTGTCTTTTTGTTGTTGAGTTGTAAGAGCTCTTTATATATCCTGGATACTAGATCCTTACTGAATATACAATTTGCACAAATTTTCCCTCATTATATGAGTTGTCTTTTAATTCTATTAATAATGTCCTTTGAAGAACATATTTTTACAATTTTTAGAAGTCCAGTTTGTCTATTTTTTCTTTTGATATTTATGCTTTTGTTGTCATATCTAATTGCCAAGTCTAAGACTATGAAAATTTACTCTTATGTTTTCTTCTAAGAGTTTAGAGTTTTACTACTTATATTTACACCTTTGGTCTATTTTGAGTTAATTTTTGTATGTGGTATGAAATAAGGGTCTTTATTTATTTGCTTGTGGATACAGTTTTCTCAGTACCATTTGTTGAAAATGCTATTCTTTTCCCATTGAATTGTCTTGGCACCCTTGTCAAAATCAGTTGGCCATAGATAAATGGATTTATCTATGGACTCTCAACTTTACTCCATTAGTCCATATGTCTGTTTTTATGCCAGTGTGACACTGTCTTGATTACTGTAGTTTTGTAGTAACTTTTGAAATTGGAAAACATGAAATACCTCCAATTTTCTTCTTTTTCAAGATTTTTTTGACTATTCAAGGTCTCCTGCAATTCCATGTGAATTTTACAATCAGTTTTTTCATAGTTCAAAAAGGTCCATTGGGATTTTGATAGGGATTATCTTGAATTTGTAGATGACGCTGGGAGGTATCACCATCTTAATATTAAATTTTCCAATCTATGAACATGGACTGTCTTTCCATTTAATTAAGTCTTTTAAAAATATTTTCAGCAATGTTGTATACTTTACAGTGTATCAGTCTTGCACTTTCTTTGGTTAAATTTATTCTTAAGTATTTTATTTTTTTGATGTGATTGTAAATGGAAGTGTTTTCTCCCCCCCCTTTTTAAATTATAAAAATATGAATTGCAATTCAGGGCTAGGTATACAAACATTGATTATGCAGGTACCCTTGTTGATGAGGTATGCCCTTCCCTCCCCTAGCAGTTTTCCTCAACTGCCAATCCCACTCCCTTCCCCTGATAGTTTCCCACTACTGCCAATCACTTTCTTATGGTATTATAATTGTTCAAGGTTCGCTTATGAGTGAGAACATATGGTACTCTGTTCTTTGTTTCTGTGATAGATCACTGAGTATGATCGACTCTAATTTAATTTCTTTATGGCATTATTTATTTATTTTTAGTGAGTAAAAATACAACTGATTTTTGTGTGTTAATGGTGTATCCTTCAATTTTGATTAATTCATTTATTTGCTCTAAGAGATTTATGGGAGCTTTATAGAATTTTTTCTATATAAGATTGTGTCATTTGTGAAAAGAGATAGTTTTACTTGTTCCTTTATAATTTGGATGCCCTTTGTTTCTTTTTCTTGCCTATTTGCTCTGGCTAGGACTTCTAGTAAAATGTTGAATAGAAGTGGCAAAAACAGACATCCTTGTCCTGTTCCTGATCTTAGAGAAATCTTTCAGTCTTTCACTATTACATATGATGTTAGCTGGGGGTTTTTACATATACTTTCTATACCTAGTTTGTTAAGTTTTTTTTTTCCACGAAAGACTGTTGGATCATATCGATGCTTTTTATACATCAATTGGGAAAATCATGTAATATTTTTCCTTTATGCTGTTAATGTGATATATTATGATGAATGATTTTTATATGTTGTACCCTCGCAATCTTCGGATAAATTCCAACTGGTCATAATTTATAATCATTTTAATATGCTTTTGGATGTGGTTTGCCAGTATTTTTTGCATCTGTATTCATAAAGGATATTGGTGTATAGCATTTTTTTCTTGCGATCTCTTTATCTGGCTTTGGTAGCATAGAAATCCTGGCCTCATAGAATCAGAAAGTGTTCTTTCCTCTATTTTTTTAAGTTTGTGAAGCATTGATGTTAATTTTCTTTAAAAGTCTGCTAGAATTCACCAGTGAAGCCATCTGGTCCTGTTTTTTGTTTGTTTGTTTACTGAGGATTTTTAATACTGGTTCAATATCTTTACTTGTTATAGTTTTGTTCAGATTTTTTTTTTCTTGGTTCAGTTTTGGTAATTTGGATGTTTCTAGAAATTTATCTATTTCATCTATGTTATCTAATATTTTGCATGCAGTTGTTCATAGTATTGTCTTATAACCCTTTTCATTTCTGTAAGACCTGTAGTAGTGTCTCCACTTTCATTAATGATATTAGTAATCTATGTTTTCTTTCTTTTCTTAGTCAACCTAGGTAAAGTTTGTCAATTTTGATGATCTTTTCAAATAATCAACTTTTGGTTTTGTTGCTTTTCTCTATTGTTTTTTATACCTTATTTCAGTAATTTCTGTGCTAATCTTTATTTTTTCTTCCTTATACTGGCTTTGTTTCCTCTTCTTTTTCTAGTTCCTTAAGGTGGAGAATTCACTTATTGATTTGAGTTCTTTTGTCTTTTTTTAGCATAAACATATGCATATATATGTATATCTATATATGTTTCTTTTTGAAGATTTTTATTTTGCTGTATCCCATGAGTTTTGCTACATTTTGTTTTAGTTTTCAT